GCCACAGGACTGTGCTGGAGTTCAGGTGGCCCCTCTAAGCACTGGCATTGGGCCATGGAAAGGACACACTGACTCTGTCAGAGAAGAGTGAACACAGATTTTAAACACTCCTCTGCAGGGTTTTAGTACAAATCGATCTATCCAGAGGATCATCTTTGCATCACCTAGTTGGGTATTTCCATCCTTAGTTTCAAAATTGTTTCAATGTAACCTTATCTCCAAGCCTCCCATGCTAATTACTTTCTTACCTGCCTTTTTCCAGCCCCTGTTGTAGATGGTGCCAGCCATGGCGCCAGTTTGACTGGTGTTTCTGTCCAGCATTGCTACTTGGATGCCTTAAGCCCTTTACTGCAAACTAACCCAGTACAGACACATACATTCCTCCAGGCTGAGGCTCATTGGGAGTGAGGGGTGCAAGACAGAGGGGCTGTGAGGAGGTGGGGTGAAGAAGAAATGTCTCCTTGGCCGTGCGTGGATAGATGGGGCAAGCAGGGCCTCCAGGAAGAAAGAAGAGGATGGGAAAGGGGCAAAGAAACCTGCCACCACCTTGTGACTAAATCCAAAATGAGGAGTTGAATTGAAAACACATATTAATCTCCCAAATTAATTTGTTGAGCTCCTGGGAGGTAGGTCACCTCCTCTCCAGGATGTTTGTGTGCATGGAGTCAGGGAGGGAGGAGACGCTTGGCAAAGCACAGGGAGGCCAAATAAGCCCATGGCCCACCCGTGGGCAGCTGCATCCCTCTGCCAGCCGAGGCCCGGGCAGGAGCTGCAGGATGCAGAGGGATGGGCTGCAGAACTTTTCTTATTTGCATAGCAAAATCAGCTCTGGCTGAATTCCTGAGCTTCAGAGAGGGCACAAAGCCAGCGGTGGCCCACGCTGGTTGGGAATAAGGCAGTGGTCTTCCCACCAGCACCTCTTTAGGTCCAGGGAGCTTCTGAGCTCTCTTTTGAAATCAGCATTGCACTTAGAATTTCGTCTCTGGTTTACTTTTATCAGACACGACATCACAAATCTCAGCTGAGATTCAGTTCGGACTCACCACTCCACACTAGTCAAATTGGTTATTTTCCTAAACAGCTCAGAGCAGAGGCCCGCAGCTCCCCTTTGCATGCTGTTTTCCATGTTCTCAGGTTTTAAGTCATCCCAGAGTGGCCACAAAATACGAAATGCAAAAAAGGGGAAGAGGAACAGCTTTGTTATCTCTATTGGGAGGGAGAAAACTGGAGGATTTAAGGATGCTGCCATAGACTTTTGCAGGTCTACAAAGGCTCACACGCTGCTGGGAGGGTCAATCTGGTCACAGACTCGCTCCAGTTGGAGGGGCCATGGGGTTTCATCCCTCCCAGCCTCCCTGAGTCCCATGCTGTGCTCCCCCTTGAAGCCAGAGAGCTCTTCTCCATTGCAGAAAATGGTATCTGGCACTCCATGACAGGACAAGAGGTAACAGGCACAAACCCAAAATGCAGAAATCTCATTTAAACAGAAGAAAACACTTATTTACTTTGAGGGTGATGGAATAGGCTGCCCAGAGAGATTGTGGCACCTCCAGCCATGGAGATATTCACAACCCTATTAGATATGGTCCTGAGCGTGCTTTGAGCTGGGGGAGTGGAGCAGAGAGGGTCGTTCACAAACTTTAGCAACTCTCTGTCTCTCAGGGCTGGTCTGATGCCTGACCCACAGACATGTCTGATGTGCTCAGGGATCCTCACCTGCCAAGGCCTGTGAAACAGCAGGGCTGACTGCAAAGACAACTTCCTCAATCTCTTCCCAAACTCTCCTGATGGGAATTTTGACCATTTTCATGTTCCTCCTCTCTATATCCTACATTGACTGGGACATGGAAAGCCCTCCTCAACTCCCTAGCTTGGTGTCTCTCTTGCAGGACCCCATGCTGGGAGGGACTTGGGCATGTACCATCTCTCCCAGGACCTGGTTTCCAAAGCACGAGCACGTTGGGATTGTGGGAGGAAGCACCTGCTCTGCCTTCTCTTGCAAATCAGTTGGAATGAACTTTCTGTTGGCAAGCTCACGAAAACAAGGTCCTCCTTAGCAAGGGAACACGGAAAGGAAGATCGAGGCGTTGGCTTCTGTGGGCTCTGTTTTGAATCCCACTGACTTGTTATTGGCTTCAATGAGAACGGCCAGTGCTGTACACCAAGCAGGCTCAGACCCCTCGTTCATGTTTAATGAAAGACAGAGTTTTCCTGGAGATCAAAAGGCTCTCTGCTTTTTATGAGGTTGATTCATGCAGGCTTTGATGTGAACTGCCCTTCGAAAAGCCATTTGCCAGGTGAACAGGGAAGCCAGCCTGAGCTCTTAGCCAGCAATAAGCCTCATCTATATTAATGCAGCTAAACCTCTTCCCATTTGATGAGATCATGCAATTAACCTGTCCACAGCAGGCAGGGCTAAGACTGCCCAGGTAATTACCCATGTGTTTTGCACTCACCGCTGTGGTGGCACCTCAGGGTGAACCTGGCATTATCAACTGAGCCCCAGGGCTGGTGTCAGGGGGAGGGGGGGAGATGTCAGAAACTGAAGCACTGACTAATGGTCAAAACACCTGGTTTGGCTTCCTACCTCTGTACTGACGCATTGCAAAACCTTGGGGAAAAGGATCTCCTGCGTGCCACCCACCTATGTACAGCTTGCCTTGGTGGCATGTCTCACAGCCACCAATGCAGCCGCGTTGCTGCCCAGACAGTCAGATGTACCTTGATACTCATGTCAACAGCACAGGTGGTGCCTGGACCAGAGGGACTGAACGCCTTGCAGGTAGTCAATACTGCAACCATCTGTTTTACGGTCTACTTGTAGTCCAGTTCTAATATTCCCCCATCTTTTGGCCAGCTTGAGGGAGCAACCTAGTATGTCAAAGCTGCTTTGTGAACTGGGAATAGAGATGCAGGAGAGCACCAACAACACAATCCACTTCTTTTAGGTTTATGCTGTAGGAGCTAAGCCTGACCCAAGCATAACTATCACATCTCATCAGTGTTTGTCTCAGTTCTGGCAAGCTGGAGAGGAGTTTGTCTAGTCGGCTCTGTGCTAGCAAATGTGCACAGGATCACTGCACTGGGAAGTGCCCTGGTCTGCAAAACTGACAGCAATGAGCTGAGTTGAGCCATGCCCTTGTGAAAGGGGAGAGGGATGGAAGTGATGGGGAAGCTCTGCTCCCCAGTATCAACACGTAGGACATGTCCACCACAGACCTGAGCTGGCTCTGCCCTGGCTGCTCCTGGTGCACAAAGAGCAGAGAAGACAACACAGGTATTCAGGTCTGCTTGGGTCCAGATCACCTGATGTTGCTACCGAATTAATAAGCCGATGTAAAGTGGCATGGCTAAACTGTCAGCAATCGTGCGCTGTACAGACCAGCCAGCCAAGCACCTGGCTAGCTCAGTCCTCCCTGCACCATGCACTGGTTGCATGGGAAACGTGCCCTTGGACACCTTAGCCTCTGGTCAGGGCATATAGCCAAATCTCAGCCCCAGCCCCTTCTGCTAAGTGGATGCACATTGCTGGCTCAGGTCGTCCTTGCTCTGACCTTCCCAGCAGGATTCAAGTGATCTTCACAGGAGCAGGACCTCCACTGCACCCTCAACCCCCCGGGGCTGCTGGTACCTGCCAGGCTGATGGGCAAGAAGGGTTCTGCACAGTGCATGCCTGCAGGTGACCTGGTACCGCTGGGAAACACAGTCCCTCGGTCCCTCAGGGGATAGCAGCTGCCCTTGGGCCAGGGAGGTCACTGGCAGGATCTACACATCCTCCTTGTATTCCCAATTCCTGCACATCCCAAATTTATCAAGGGGCTGGGATTATACCCAAGTGGCTGCAAGAAAATCATTCAGCCTCCATCGCTGCCATTCAGAGAAAAGCACACTCAAGCTCTTCAAAAATGCTCACTGAAAGCGAGTGAAAAGAAATCTCAGGGAAAAACCTGAATCTCAGCGCTCTGCTGGGCAAGGAGCATCTCCTGAGAAAGCAGAGGTACCCAAGGCTCAGATGCTTTCAGCAAAAGGCAGGGTCAATACTCTGCACCCCTATCCCTGCAGCCCTCTCCTTTCTATGCCTATTTTTCTCCAGCCTCGAAGCCAGGAAAACCACTATATGCCTCTGATGTTGCCAGACTATGCGAGCCAGGGTTTGAAGGGTATTTTAACAAGCCCTGAGGGAAGAGGGCTGTGAAAACCAAGGAGCTACAGATGTCATCTTGTAAGTCTGGCTGAAAGGTGGACGTTTGCAGGATGGAAGGGGGCCGCTAACAGACCTCAGCAATACAGATGTAACATCTCAGAGCACTGAGAGCTTTATCTCTCCTTCCTCTGCCTTTCCTTTTCTCTTCCCTTCCTTCTGCAGAATAAAACAGAAAAGGCACTTCCCAGCGAAGCAGGTACAGAGGAAGGGGCTGGCAGACCTGCGAGGTGCTTGCGTTAGATGCTGCTGGGGCGATGCAGATATGGAGGGAGGGGGGAAGCTCTGACATCCTGCTTTTCCATGTGTGCCAGCATGGCAGAGGTGGGGCATCCCGTTAGGTCCTGGGAGGAGCACACACCTTCTGCATTTGCAAACAGGTTCACAGAGGTCAGCCAGCCAACTCCCCTTTCTGCCCTGGGCACAGATTGCTCTGGGGAGGGCACGGCCATGGTAACACCTGCACCCTCCAGCCAAGGGGACCGGTGGCTGGGAGACTGCAGAAATGGGGATGTGGAGAAGAATGAAGCCAGGTTTAGCAAACCAGAAACAACTCAGGTCCCACAGACCCAAAGAAGAGGAGGAGGAAGCAAACTCTGAACTTTTGCAAGCAGCAAAATCAGCAGAAAAAAGTTTTAATTTTCTGCTTTAAATCTTGGGCTGTAAGAGTGCATGAATGAAACAGTGAACTGCACAGAGACTTGTTGATGCCTCTCTTTGAAGAGAGGGGCTGAAAGAATGAAGTAAACCGAGGTCACAGCTTGGACCCTGGTAGGGGGAGGAATCGTATCAAAGGAAGATGGACAAGTTTCGGATGATCTTTCAGTTCCTCCAGTCCAACCAGGAGTCCTTCATGAATGGCATATGTGGGATCATGGCCCTCGCCAGTGCCCAGATGTACTCAGCCTTTGATTTCAACTGCCCCTGCCTGCCACGCTACAACCTGGCCTATGGGCTAGGCATCCTCCTGGTGCCCCCCTTCATCTTGTTCCTGCTGGGTTTTGTGCTGAACAACAACATCTCCATGCTGGCAGAGGAGTGGAGGCGACCCCAGGGCCGGCGAGGGAAGGACCCGGCCGTCCTGCGCTACATGTTCTGCTCCATGGCACAGAGGGCCATGATCGCCCCGGTGGTCTGGGTCTCAGTGACACTGCTGGATGGCAAGTGCATCACCTGCGCCTTCTGCACCTCCGTGCCCGTGGAGACCCTGGGCAACGCCAGCCACCCTGGCCTCTCCCAAGGGGAGATGAAGCGGGTCCTTGCCCGCATCCCCTGCAAAGAGATCTACAATGGACAGGAGCTCATCGCCAATGAAGTGGCTGTCAGGTACCTGCGCTGCATCTCGCAGGTAAGAGACATCATGGCTGTGCCCTTGCTGGTGGTTTGAGGTTGGGCACTGCCAGCCTTAGCTCTTCCCTCGAGGGAATCTCCTTGTTGAAATCAAGCTGCAGGAGGGAACTGGTGATTTCGCAGGGGTACAACATGCTCAGACTCAGCTCCGGGGAGTTATGCCTCCAGTGTGGTGCAGAGACTGAAGCTATAGATTGTCCTGATAATTTGGTCCCCCTTCCTGCCTGGGCAGCCTGGGGCTGCAGGGCAGTGATACACGGCCAAGCTGTATGCAGAGATTTATTTAGAGCAAGTTCAGAAGGGCCTGAGATGAATGTTACTCGGTGGCTAGTGGGCTGTCACCCCCTCCCATAACCCACCGGTTGCCCGCAGTTGCTCTTGCTGCTTACTATAATGTGTGCAAGCGATGGGTTGATAAATATCTGTTCCACTTGCCTCTGCCACTTGCATGGAAACAACCAGTGTGTGTTTATTAACCATCCCAGGGAACCACAAAGGAAGAATTGCCACTAACCGCTTGTCCTGTACTTAATTCCTCTCAAGCCCTCTGCTTCTGGCCATGTTGGAGACAAGATGGTCTGATCCATGCTGGTCACTCATGTACTCTGTTTAAAAGCAGTTCATCCCTCTGACCTCCTTAGGGCAGACACGAAGTATTATCCCCAGTTTAAGAGAAACGGAGGCACGGTGACTTCTCCAAAGACACAGAACAGATTTTCCTCTGTAGACCCCAATTACCAGCTGCTGGAAAGCACTGGAAGCTGCAAAACAAGAGGTGCCACCTAGATACCCCCCGCCCAGGTGCTCTTTTACGGGGCTGCATTTCCAGTGGGGTTCACCCTCGCAAGCTCTGCCTGCACAGCCTGGCAGCAGCCTGAGCTGAGACTGGTGGTGAACATCTGCCCTCATCTCACCCTTCCTGTCAAACCCCATTAGCAGGGGAGCCTGTTGCCACCTCTCACCCACGATAGATGTTATTGAGTCCAACAGCTCGGGAAAAGGATTAGACAGCTACATAAACCCAAGGAGTATCTGGAACAACATTAGCTGCAAGTTAGAAGACACAGGCTATCCTAGACCCAGGTGAGGGCATGGCCATATCAGAGGCGGGACCGAGGGCTGGGTGCAGGATTCAGTCTGGTGTTATTTATGGTCACTGCCTGCTGATACCAAACATGGCGAGAAACAGAGGTGCTGCCTACGTGGCTGCATCGAACAAAATTTCAGTGCAGATGCTCTGACATAGTACATCGGGTCTCCTCGTCTGGCATTTGCAATGTAAATGCAGCCAAATGTCAAACACCCCGAAGTGGAGCCAGGCTCGTTCGCAGCCCAGCAGGCTCCTGCCAGCCAGCCTGCCAGCCGGTGGGAAGTGCCGGACATGTGGTCTGCCTGCCTGTGATGGGTCTGGTTCCCCCCTCGTCCCTGCAGGCCCTGGGCTGGTGCTTTGTGCTGCTGATGACCACACTGGCTTTCTTGGTCAGATCCCTCCGGCCCTGCTTCACACAAGCCGCCTTCCTGAAGAGCAGGTACTGGTCCCACTACATCGACATCGAGCGCAAGCTGTTTGATGAGACGTGTGCGGAGCACGCCAGGAGCTTTGCCAAGGTCTGCATCCAGCAGTTCTTCGAGGATATGAGCAGGGACCTGGCAGCCGCTCGCCTTCACCCACCCAGGAAAGCTCCCGCAGATGCAGGGGAAGCTGCCGAGAAGCTCCTGGGCATCACCGACCAGGGCACCATGAACACGGCCCTGAAGAGCTGGCACAAATGCAAGCCCCCGCTGCACCTCCACCCACCTGCCCTCTCCAGAGGCAATGGCTGGGCAGGGGAAGAGCAGCCCCCCATGCACCCCTCTGTGCCCCGAAGGGAGATGGCTGCCTACTACAGCCGGGTGTGAGGGGGCACAGGGCTATGCAGAAGCAGAGCTGCGCTTTTGGGAGAGGGGCTGAAGAGAGGGTGGACAGAAGGGTGTCCGAGCCGGGCAGAGGCAAGGGCCAGCGCCAGAGGGGCTGCGGGGGGATGGGCACCCAAAGGGCTTGGCGGTGCCAGTGCAATCCCATCTGCTCTCACATCCAATCCTATAGCATCAGTAATTCAGGCAACAAGTTTTGTGCTAAGCAGGACAGCTACTCAAGGTCGTGATGGACAAGCCCGATGGATACTGAAGGGTGTGATGTGGCAGCTGGACAGATGTGCTGTGTGTCCCACACCCCCAGGCACCAGGTTTGTGTTGTGGCGGTTGCCAAGGTAGACGCTACCAGATGTGCAAAACTTCCTTTCTTTTACCACATGCTCAGCACTGGGCAGCACATGTAGGTTTAGGCAGTATTAAAAATCCCCTGGTGGGGAAACAAGCTAGGGGTGCCCCTTTCTCATGCCAAGCTATGAAACCTCAAAAGTCTCCCCATTACCCCTCCACACACTACATCCCCGCAGACACACACAGCTTCCAGCCCAAGAAAAGCTTTACAATAAATTTGACCCAAGCAAAAAGCTAGTGAAGGGTCATCCCATATTGCATTACATGTGATGGGAACGGCGTGGTTGGTGTCACAGGTACTATTCATTGACGACCCCACAGAGATGCTCCTTGAAGGGAGTGTCTAGGCAAGGAGAGCAGCTAACATGCAGCACCGCGGAGGTCGGGGGCCAGGCCAACCCCTTGCCACAAATTTGCTGCAGGACAGTTTATTCTTGCAGTTTTACCTGGATTACTCCCTGACACAAAGACTGATGTTAAAAATCTGCCTGTGTGTTTGTTTAAGGAGCCAAATAAATAATTCAGGTTTGCTGTTCAAGCTCAGGCACAAGGATTTATAAAAGCTATTTACAAAAGCTGTTGGTGTTTCTTTATTTGAATGCAATGAAAAGGACTGGGGGGGGCTCCGGGCCAAGCCCGAGGTGCTGAGGCCGTGCTAGT